CATATCTCTCTCTCTCTCTCTCTCTCTCTCTCTCTCTCTCACACACACACACACACACACACACACACACACACACACTCACACACACACATGCATGCACACAAACACTCCAAGGTGCTCCCTCGCATGGAATTCATCTTGAAAATATTTTCTAATTCCTCAAATAACAAAATGGGAAACTCAGATTCAATATGCATGCTATCTCTGGGCAATCTTAACCTGAGGTCTTCTACTACAAAGCATACACAGGTTTCATAAGAAAACAAAAGCAGGAATTAATGTAAACCTCTCTATGGAGTAGAAAATGCTTGAAGTAGTTCGGATGAACATGACAACCTTGACAGCCAGCAGTAACACCGGAACAGCCTGCAATGAGATATAAGTTACATCGGCAAAATATAAACACACACACCGCATTAAAAAGGGCCTTTTGGGCTAGTTCCGTGGAGTGTTTTTGTACAATTTTATTGGAGAAAGATGTTCTATGGTTGCGTTTATACATGTTTCATGGGAGATCACGGCCAGACTTCAAATTTTAGCTGCTACAGAAGGAATCAATGCCATAAAATCACAGTTGAACTATGGAAAGAATAAAGTGATAAAAGAAACTATTTATCAGTACTGATTTCTGTCTGCGAATATATTTTTTCAATTGGATCTTGGGGAAGATTCATTCAAGGTTTACCATGGTCAAAGGAATGCACAATTAAACTGCATGAGAGAACAGAGATACATTTGTGCAATGAATTTAAATGCAAAACAAAAATAGAGGGAACTGTGAATTTGGGTGTGCGTGCACGTAGACTTTGAAGAGAGAGAAATAGGCCTGTAAGCAGGCCTGGCATCAACCTGACTCGGACCCTACCCAACAGGGTCCAGGTCAAACAAAAGACCTCAATCCAATCCGATCACAGGACAAGTGGACCCGCTGGTTCCAATAGGTAGCCCCAAACCTTGACCCGGTTGGTTGACCCAAGTCGGCAAGTTCACCCACCCAACCCGCTTTACCACCCCAAGAGAGAAAAAGGTGTAGTTACGGGTCGGGCTATGTAATATGGACATGCGAGTCCATGGTTTTCAGCACATCAACACACCAAGAATAGGACATGCATTCCTGACGTTTAAGATACTTCTCCCTAACCTTTCTTGTTGAAATGTCACAATAAAAGTATGTAATATGACCTAAATTCACAGCTCACCCCTTAATCAAAATGATGGATGCGTATTATCTAAGATGCCAACTTTGGGATTGATGTTTCTGACACTATAATATGTGTTGCACGTTGACACATGTATCTGTGCTTTTGTATCATAGATGTGGGGTTCCAAACTTGCAATGTAGAAGGTGAAATGGAAGCACCACATAGAAGTGGGCTAAAACCCACAAACCAAAACATAAACACACAAACATAGACTCGTGTACATTTTAAATTAAAAAAACACATGTAAATGCATAACATTGCAATGTGCAAATATATCCTATAAAGACTCTTCACAAATAAGAGGAAAAGATGAACATGTAGAACCCAATACTTTAAATTGAACTTCATTGTTGTCAGGTCGCTAGAAGTCTGTCTGCATAATAAGCCAACATAATTTTCCTTTCATATGAGATCGGTATGACTGCAATTCATCTAAGTTCCGAAATGATTAAGCACTTAAATATTGTGTTATTATAGAGTGTGTTTCTAAACACAAACACAAATAAACCCTTCAGCTCCCACAGAATTACTCAAACAATTCAAGACTTGTTAAATTTTCCGTAGTCTAAAATATTTCATTTATTGCTATCATTCTTTAATTCTTCAGACTCAGTTATGCCACAAAAGTTTCATAGCACTTGTCCTTTATCTTTCTTTATTTTTCGATGACTTTTCACCGACCATAAATTAGAGAAAAGGACTGCAAAAAGAAAAATTAATGTTTAAAGAGCAAACCTGTGCATAAACTTTGTTAATTATAGTAATAGGTCCCAGCTGCTTTCTGTTCCCTGTCCTTTGTGGAGTCCAATTTGTTGATTCGAGGCCTATAGCTGGTTGTATCTCGCCTCAATGTAACATCCAGATGCTGCACACAAAGAAAAATAAAATAAATGAAAATTGAATGTCATAGCATACACAAGGCAGAAGGACAGATACCTATCCATGCATGCACACATTTACACACAATATATAGATATTAGATGCACAGAGACATAGAGACATAGATATATAGATATATAAATATAAACACGTGTGTGCGTATCAATATAGACACAGATCCATAGATAACATATGCATATACATGAACATATCTATACATATATGTGTGTGTATTTATCTTTGTGCGTGTGTGTGCATGTGGGAGAGGACCTTACTGATAGGAATCGGTTCATTCCTGTCAACAATTCTTCAGGAGCATTAGCAGTGCATTCTACAGATGGTTTCCCCGCATATACAATTACTTTGTCGGCCAGGTAAGTCGCCATTATGAAATCGTGCTCCACAACAAAAGCAGTTTTCTTGGAATGAAGAATAAAACTCTTGATAACCTTTGAGGCCACAATACGCTGCTCTGAATCCAGATAAGCACTTGGCTCATCAATCAGATAGATGTCAGCAGGCTGCAAAGAAACCACAAGATCGCATCATGGCCACAATTGACATAAAATCATTTTTTCATCTTATCTAAGCAAACAATAGAAAATGGTTCAGGCATTTTCCCTATCCACATGGCATGAATCACAAAAGACAGTTGGCATGTTTGACACTTTTGGCCCATGTAAATTTTTTATCCTGAAGACCTCTTAGCTTTTTATAAATAAGTATTCCTTTAGTAATATTCTGTCAATATCCATCATAAAGGATTCAAATTTCAGTTACTATTTCAAGGACCACATTCATCATGAACTTTAATTTTGTGGTTAGTAAGCCAAGAAATAAATATTTAATTTATTAATATTTTCAAAGTACTCAACAAAAAAAAAAAAAAATCCTAGGATTGCAGACCCCCATGACAAACATTGAGCGAAAGCAGGAAACCACACCGAAACCAATTTGATAACTTTTTGAGCCGGTCTGGAAGTTTTTTGAGTTCCTTCGTACCATGCACAGTGTGCTTGCATTAGCACCCATTTTTGTAAGGGTTCTTTTTAGCGTATTTTTGATGCACTAACACCCCGGGTCAAATAATAGAGGAGGCGGTTACGACCCAGGCCCATAGGTACACTAGTCACACATGTGGACCACAAAAGCCCACACTAATAAACCCAATTTTTGAGCAATTTTGAAAAGGTGTCCCCTCGGACCCAAAAGCATGAAAAATGAAGCATTGGATGTTCTAAGAGTGCCCGCCAAGTTCTGTCCCAATCCAATCAAGATAAAGCCGATCAGGATGAAATTTACATTTCGTTGAACCGCTCTCAATCATGCCAAAAGTTACGTCACAACTAGAGCTATGTCCTCAAGGTCTCAGATGAGCATCAGACCACTGCCATTGAATTCGGAAGGCCCAAAAACCCCCAGATACCAAATTTCAGCTCATTTGGACGCTTTTGGATCGTTCTAGGGCCAACTTACCCAAAACGGAAGTGTTTCACACTATTCATGTGCTGCCTACATGAACCAGTTTCCATTGGAAACTGTGCTATGTGATTTCGGGATTGCACTAAAAATGTCATAACTCTCTCATCCTAAGGCCAATCAAGCCCAAATTTTGATATGTTATAGATCTTGTCGAGCCGCATGTTTTGATATAAAATACGGCCCAATACAATGCACAAATTGAGAAAAATCTTAAAAAGAAGTGGCTCCAAAAAACTCATGTGTTTCAGAATTTTTAAAGTGAAACATCCTCCCATTCGAGAGGTCGTATCTCGGTGCTCCGACATCAGATGGCTTCAAATATGGGTCCGTTGTGACCGTAGTTTGAAGAAGTTCAATTTAAGGTAAGATCCGAAGACACCCGTTTTTCGCTCGAAAGAAGGCACATTTCCGGTCGTCGGAATCCCATTTTCCAGTGACCTCCAAAATTGCAAAAGTGATTAAATGACCACTAAATCAAGGGGTTTTCATTGCAAAACGATCACAACGATCTCCCTTTGATTTGTGATCAAGAAAATGACTGAAAACAAGGCAAGACGAGCTAGATCGAGTGAAGAAAAATTCAAGTTTATGGGTTTGGCCGGATTTTGGGAATAACCCAAAAACTTCGATTCAAGCTCAATAATGCATATCAAAACGATCATCATGACGCAACCATCATTTTTCCGGTGTTGGATTGTCCGAAAGCTCGCCGGAAAGTGCCCAAAAGAGCCCCGAACTACAAGGAAAAAAGCCCCTTCTTAGGGATGGTTTTGTCATTTTCATGAAAGTTGAAAGGGGCAAAACAGTCATTTTACATCAAAAACGAAATTCACCTTTAATTAGAAAAAAATTATAATTTTTAGCAATTTGGCATTGTTTTGATCATCCACCCATGTGTGGGTCTTATATAAGCTCTTTTTCACCATTTGTAACCCAAGTAGGAGATAATTTGAAAGCTAGTGTTTTATAGCTTGAGTTTTTGTTGAGCCTTCATTATTCACTTCAAAGAGAGAGGACAAAATATTTTTTCATTGAGAGCAATACCTCACTCTAGTCTACCAATCCTAGTCCACCCAACCCTACACCACACCATACTCCACACCCATACTCCCTATACCCCACCACACCTACCCTACTCTCTACACCACACTTCACCCTATGCATACTCAATCCATCCATCATACACCCTAGCCCACCTAAGCTAGCCCTCACCCTAACCCCATTTAGCCAACCCTCACCCTAGCTCACCCAAGTTGACCCTCACCCTAGCCCACCTAAGCTAGCCCTCACCCTAACCCACCTTAGCCAACCCTCACCATAGCCCACCTAAGTTAGACTCTACCCCAAGCCCAAGCCCCAAGACCTAGCCTCCCTCAAGAGTACTCAAGGGACCCAAGGATTGAGCCTAGCAGACGGTTTGAGCCCTCGTCGCACCCACCTAGGTAACCGGTCTATCTCTCTCCTCTTTCTTTTTCTTTCTCTTTTTTTTCTCTCTCTTCTTCTCTTTTGTTCTCTCTCTCTATCTCTCTCTCTCTCTCTCCCCCCATGGCCTAGCCGCCCCTTTCTTTCTTCTTCTCTCTTCTTCTCTATCTCTCTCTTCCCAAAGGGGACAGTCTAGCCACCCCCCTTCTTTATCTCTCCCTCTTTTCTTCTCTATCTCTCTCTCTCTCTGTCCCTCAAAGGGGACAGCCTAGCCGCCCCCTTTCTTTCTCTCTCCCTCTCAAGGGAGGCAGCCTAGCCACCCCCTTTTTCTCTTTTTCTCTTTATATCCCTCTATTTCTCTCTCTCTTCCCGTCTCACAAGGGAGGCGGCCTAGCCGCCCCCACTCTCTTTTTCTCTCTCTTTATCTCTATCTCTATCTCTCTCTTCTCCCTCACAAGGGAGGTGGTCTAGCTGCCCCCACTCTCTCTTTCTCTCTATCTCTCTCTCTTTTCTCCCTCACAAGGAAGGCGGCCTAGCTGCCCCCACTTTCTCTCCCTCATTTCTTTTCTCACCTCTCTTCCCCTCTCTCCTTTTCTACCTCACTTCTCTCTCCTTCCCCCTTCTTCTCTCCCACTTCATACCCTCTCATCTCATCTTTCTTTTTTCTTTACCTTCTTCCTGATCACTCATCGCCGAGGCTCTTCGGGAGTGAGGTCTTTCGATGGGATTTGGCCTAGCCTAACCCGCACCCTCGTTCTCTTGACTCCTCAGTGGTGCTGAGGCCCTCGAGGCTAGACCCTTTCAGCTAGGTCCAAAGTGAGACGTCCCAAGGGAAGTCGATCATAGTGGCATTTTCTTGACTGGTTGTCAATCCTTTAAGTGGCACATTGATGGGCTTGACCCGCTGACATCACTTTCTTGAATCCTCCGGGGTGCTTAGACTTCACGTCTAGTACTTTTTCGCCTCCGGTAATACCTCCTAAGGGAGGTCACGCCAAGGCTGCCCAATTTTTGGGTGGTTTCCTCTCCTCTTTTCTAAACTCTCTTCCTTCCATCCCACCCTTTACCCTTCTCACTAACCTAGAACCCTAACCATCCCTCTCAAACCTCTCCCAAACCCTCACTCTTGTCCTTATCCTTTTCCTTATCCATAACCTCAACCACTGGGGACGATCCCCGGACAACACGACTCCAGACCCATAAAACGTGCGAAAATCGAGAAGCAGTGGCGGATTAGAAAGGGAGTAACTTCCAAGACATGTCGACGAGTTAGGCCCACAAGCCCCCTCGCCGCGCAAAATCCCTCTCACTCGCTAGTACACCTAAACACACCCACTCGCACAAGCGCACCCGCAGGTACTTGCACACACGAGGCGATGTGGCGTACCCCCTCACGACCTGCAGTTTTCCAAGAGGGCTATCTCGGGGGGGGTCCCCGGCCACGACACCGATCGAGGCCCAACCAGGTTCATTTTGATGAGAGCACCCGGATCGTGGGTTGCCACAATTTTTTGTAATCATTGACTCAAACGAAATACAATGTCAACATTTCCAAAGAAAAAAAAACTCCCAATAGATAATTTCGGAAATACAAAAACAGATGTGGCACTTCTTTCTACAGGAAGAATCTACAACAAAAAATCCATGAGCAGAACAAAGAGAACGGAGCCATGTCAACTGTTTTTTTTAAACCATCAGTGTATTATGTGTCATATGAGAAGCAAGAATTGTCAAAATGAAAAATACATGAGTCTCAAATTGTTTGTTACTTGTCAGTAGGTAAAAGTGAATCAGTCTTATAGACTGCCCAAGACCAAATTAATATTGAATTCTAGAAAATAAGGAAATAAAATATAAAATACATATTTGTACATACATATCATATAATGATAGCTAGATAATAAAAATAGCTAACAGATCAATGCAATAATAAAGGCACACCTTGCCAAGGCATAGGCACAATGCCACCCTCTGCAACTCTCCACCAGATAGATTTACAACTTCTTGATTCATTAATTGCTCAATTTGAAGGGGTTTCATGACATCAGTCATGAACTGAGGATGCATATAGGAATCCTGAATCTTTTGATGCAGTAGATGTCTGACTTTTGAAGGGTATTTGGGACTAATCTTCTGGGGCTTGTAAGAGACATTGAATTCAGGTACTTCCACACCCAAACCTCCATCCACTTCATCGGCTCTCAAGTGACCAGCCTGCATAAAGGCCAAAAGCATTACAAAACCATGATGATGAGACAAAAGCCTGAACTAGAATATGAACATCAAAAAATAAAGTGCAACTGACCATCAGTGCCAATCCCGTGAACTTATAAACATATAAGATAGCAATTTAGTTGATAGACAACATAAAGCCAAGAAGGAAAGGATGCAGTAATTTATGGAAAAGTATAGTCCATTGGGCTCATCATTCTTTTTATTATCAGTTGGTCATGACTCTTCATTGGAATGATGGCCAGTGATGCAGATAGAATGGGACTCAGCAAAATGTCCCCAATGATGCTCCATCCTCTTTCCATCAGCGTCCATAACTTCAGTGGAGGTTAATCACCTAATGGATATGGTTTTTCCAGAACCCAACAGATTGGAGTACAGCCTCCATGAAGGTAAAACAGCTTACCAGCATGCGGATAAACGTTGTCTTCCCAGTCCCATTCTCCCCTAACATTACAATAATCTGAGAATCAGTAAATTCACCCTCAATTACTGTAAGCTTGAATTTACCCTGAGTTTTACTCATTGTTGGGTATCTATGTCGGGCATAGGACTTCATCTCCTCTGCATTTTCTTGATGATTGCTCGCAATCTGAACATTGCAAACACTTCAGTATCATTTGAAGTGAAAGATAATACTAGAAAATTGCACACTTCATATAAAATAATAACCTTGAATGTCAGGTGGTTATCCCTGAACCGAAGGTTCTCAGTCGGAACAAACCCAGCTAAAAAGATATTAATTCCTTCTCTAACAGAAAATGGAAGTGTTACAACTCCATAAACTCCAGGCTTTCCATAAAGGCAGCAAATGAAGTCCGATAAGTAATCCAGAACACTAAGGTCATGTTCCACTACGATTACATAGCTGAAAAGGGAAAACATAGAAACTTTTTCAGTTCTAATTCACATTATAATGTACAAACACAGTCAAAAGAGTTGTCAAGAAAGACTATGAAAATGACTTATAGACATTAGGTAGACCTGTTGGGCCTGAGCAAAGATCGAATCACTTGCGCAGCTTTTATCCTTTGCTTTACGTCAAGATAACTGGATGGCTCGTCAAACATATATATGTCAGCATTCTGAACTGCAACAACAGCAATAGCAAACCGCTGCAATTCTCCACCAGATAAGTCACCAATGTCATGATCCATAACCTCATTCAACTCTAGGTCACAACAAATTTCAGTCATCATTCCCCTCTCATCTTTCTGAGCAAGAACCTCACGGACAGTCCCCCGTGCTGCCTTTGGTATGTGATCAACATACTGAGGCTTGATGGCAGGCTATCAAATCATCACAATAGGTAAAGAGAGCATAAGCAAATGAAACTCTTCAAGGATTAAAGTCATAATTGAATAAAATTTTTACCCAACTGCTAAATAATTCTCGACTGAGCATCTTATAAAATATAGATGACAAGAGACAACTAAATAGTTTCTATTTTCCTGTTTCCATTTAATTATTAATTCATTAAAGTTTATGAGAGTCAGGTTGCTACCATGGGTACAAACAAACAAAGACATGTAAAGGACTAGCTAATGGCACATGAGGTGCACAAAGCCTCAACTTAGAAATTAAATGATACATATATTATTATTATTTTTTATAATGTTAACCTTTAATTTAAAAGAAAGAGGAGTACAAAACCCTTGGCATACCACAAAAAAAAGGTTCTCAAGGACTAGAGAAAGGAGAGAAGAGTGGGATATAGGCCTCTTTTAAGAAGTTATTGTAAAGAGGGACAGCAAACAAAGAAAAGAGGCCGAACCACCATAAAAAAACAGAAAAGCAAAAGGCAAAAAACCAAAAAAAGGTTAGAACTCCTAGTTTTTAGGTTATGGTGTTCATGGAATTTCCCTCTACGATGAGGGAATGCCAGTGTTTTAAAATGCGGCCGCATCAGGCGCTATGTGCCACCTAGCGCATCGCACTTTCCCGCATATGCGGTTTGGAGAGATGTTCCCGCATCAGAGCCGTATCCCACATCAACTGCATCAGGCTGCATAATCTGTCCGCCATTTTTTTCAAAACTGTACCCCTCGGGCAAGGCCAATAAGGTCATTTTGACCTTTGAAAATGGGGGGAAAGGGTTTGGGGGGGTATTAAACCATCCAAACAACATTTTTCAGCCACATCCGTGGCTTTTATTGGATCGATTGAGTCTAAAAAAAATTGTGCGGAAATTTTATTTGTGGAAGTTCTTCAATTTGTAATACAAGATGCTACAAGCTAAAAGTCCATGAAGATTAAAAGTTATAAATCAAAGAACTTTTCCCAGTACTTTTTAAACAAAATTTATAACTTTAAAGAGTTTCATGGACTAATACAGTAAAGTTACAAATTAACGCGTTTATAAAATTTATTGATCTTCAACATGCTCTGATATCGTAAAGTTACAACATTTTTATAAATTTATAAAGTTTATAAAAAGTATACAAATCGAGTCGAAGAACTTCGTGGACTCTTGTCGAGATTAAAGAGTTTATAAAATTTGTAACTTTCAAGTTTTTCGTTGCAGATTTGTGCTTATGGTTGTTGATTGTTGAATGTTTTATAAAGCTAGTTTCAAGTTTCTAGTTTCTATCAGGGGATAGTGGATACATAATCTTCGACTGCTAATACTTTTGGAGTTAATTAATGATCTAAATACACATAAATCACCTCCAGTTTTTTTCTATGCATCAACCTATTTTTTTATATTTTTGGAATTTTTATATATTTATTGACCGCATCGCCGCAATGCACCCCCATCCGAACCGCATCTAGCCGCATCCCCCCCCCCCCCCAAACGCTTTTGGCCGCATCCCGCATTTTAAAACACTGGGGAATGCAAGTTGAAATGTTGGATGAGCTAGGCCGTCTAGAAGGGCGGGCTAGCACCTCAACCTCCATGGAATCTGTGTGGCCAATGTGTTTGGAAACCGAAGCCACAGTAGAGCCAAGGCGGTCTCTGAGGATGGCTCCAATTCCTGACGGCCCTGGATTGCCGAGGGAGCATCCGTCGAAATTGAGCTTAAGCATCCCCTGAGGAGGTGGCTTCCAATTTGAAGTCCTGAAAGGGCAAGAGCAGTGATGTCGAAGGACATTATTCCATTCTTGATGGAAGGCCAATGCTGAAATTCCTTAGAAGCCAGGTGGTTGGTAGCCCAGAAGATAATGGTGGATTTGAGCTTGGTGAAGATTTTGGACCAAGGAGAATACTCCCCCCTGAATATTTTGTGGTTGCGCTCAATCCATAATGCCCACAGAGATGCAGCCACCACTGATTTCCAGAGAAGAATCCCTTCTTTGGGCCAGGGAAAAGGCTAGATAGAGGAGAGAATCGAAGTCACCTCTGCAAGCAATACGCACTGTACCTTGAACAGTTTGAGGATTGCTTCCCAAAGATTGAAGGCATAGGGCAGCATAAGAAGAGGTGGTTATTGGATTCCTCCTCAGCTAGACACAAGACACAACGATTAGGAAAGAGCCAACCACATAAAAATCTTTATTTTGGGGGGAGCTAAGGAGTCTCAGGCCTGGACCGCAACAGCTGTGGGAGCTAGAGGAAAAGTAGGGGGTAGCGACGAGCTACGAAAGAAAGAGGACACCGTAAAAGAACCAGCCGGCGAAGGAGTCTAGATGATACAGTCAGGACCTACAGAAGCTAAGAAACAAGCTTGTAATTCTGCCGAGAGAGAGGCGAAACTCGAGATTTTGAGGTCATTGAGAGCTCTCCTGAAAACTGGATTCCATGAGCGAGAGGTCCCAGCCAGTAGCATTTCTTGGCTACTGTAGCCCCTTGATCTCGAGCAAGACGGAAGAGATCAGGGTGTTTGTCCCTGAGTGAGGTGTGGCCTAGCCACAGATCATGCCAAAAGAGGATTCGGTTCCCCGATCTCGGATGAAATCTGATTCGGGTTTTAAAGAGCTGAAAAGCAGAGCAGATTGACCTCCAGATACCTGAGGACTTGTGGTTAGTTCTGAAATCAAGAAGCCAAGAAGAGTCATGGAGGCAATATTTGGTTTTGAGAATGTCGATCCATAGGTGGTCCCTTAAGGTCACTAGACGCCAACACCATTTGCCAAGGAGGGCTAAGTTTTGAGTTCTCGGTTTTTTGATCCCTAGACCTCCCCTTTTCTTAGATTGGCAGAGTTTGTCCCAGGCTATCAAATGGAATTTGTTGTTAGAGTCCTCTACTGGCCAAATGAACCTCGTCATCAATTGTTCGATCCTAGTGCTAACGGCAACTGGCATATGGAAAATAGACATTTGATAGACTGGTATGTTAGCAGGAGTTGCTTTGATTAGAGTGAGCCTGCCCAGCAGACAGAAACCGTCCTTTCTAGCGGGATAATCTGCAATCCGCTTTGTCGACAATGTGGGACCACATCCTTTTATTAGGTTTGCCTAGGCAAAGTGGAAGGCCTAGATATATCGAGGGTAATTCTTCAGCTCCACAACCCCAGCTTTCAGCAAAGGATTTGAGGGTGGCAGAATCGACATTAATACCCATCATTGTGGCTTCGTCATAATTGACTTTGAAGCCAGTTGCGAATTCAAAGCACCTGAGAAAGACGAAGAGATTGTGTATTTCATTACATAAGCCATAAGACTTGATTTTAAGAGGGCAGTTGCTGGCCCCGGTGCTACTGTGTGGCGCCATAGACCACCAGATTTTCTTTCCTCTCTTTTATTACATGATCTGAAGCAAGTACCCTACCATAGGGTTGTATCTTAATTGTTTTTCTCTGCTTTTTTATTAATGAAAAACGGATAGGGGGGACCTACTCCCCCACTGACTTACCCAAAAAAAAGACTTAATTTTTAAGTCATTTAAAACCTAAATATTTTTGTATAATTTCTAATATATTAGTTTTGTTTAATTTATCATATTTAGATTTATTTATTTCATTCCAATCACTTCTTTTATTTTTTTTAGCATAAACATATATTTTAACTCCACCATGGCTAGTCCCAAGCCCAAATGAGAAAGGAGGGTTGTGTTAGGTTGGCAGCTAGCGTAAAACTTTTTTTGCCACATCTCTATCACGAATCCTAATTCAATGTTATATGCCGTCAAGAAACAACATATCCATAGAATGAGTGTAGCAAAAATGGAATGTTGAAATGAGTGGCAAAAGACAAGAAATGATAGAATCCAAAGAGAATACATTTGAGGGAACATAGGGGAACCTCTAATAGGCAATAAGTTGAGGGAAAGTAAACTTAGGTGGTTTAGCCAAGTGCAACATCAACCTAGAACAATATTAGTTGGGAGGTGATTTGGTTAAAGTGAAAGGCTCTAAAAACGAAAGGGAAAGACCCAAAAGGACATATAGATAGAAGTAATGAAAAGAGATATGGTGACTTATGATCTGATTAAGGGTATGGCCCTTGATAGAGCAGAATGACGGAACAAGATTCGTGTAGCCGACCCCAATTTGTTGGGATAAGGCTCGGATGATGATGATAGATACCTATTTTTTAGAGGAAAGATATTTAATCAATTTCTATTGGAATACCTATTTTGATAGGGAATTCCTTTTCTTGACTTATACTATAGAAATCTTCTAGATAATTTCAGATTTTACTTTTTTCATTACTTGTATGCATTCTAGTTTAATTTGAAAAAAACATAAATTCAGATAGTGAATTAAATAGCTTTTAAGTGGACATAGACATGACCTTCTTTTAGAAAATCATCATTAAATTTAAATTATTTAACGAATATTCTAATTTCTAAGATTTCAATTCTTTTTTTATTCTTTTTTTTACCATAATACATATTATGTTCGCAGCGTGTATCTAGTCATTTTGATGGGTTTTCCTATTATGGAAAGAACTCCTTTTTTTAGTACTTGTTTAGTTTATCGTAGTTAGTTTTTTTATATGCTCTTAAGTTTCAATTATTTACATCTCTCATTCCGAATTCTTCACTATAGTGTAATGGGAGAGAGACATGACACTTTTTGGCTTGTTGTCAATGGGAGTGAAAATATGTAACATGCAATTCAAAAGTCATGCTCTTATCCATTCTCCTTTATAAATATACATATAGTAACTGAAGAAAACGCCGTTGGATTAATATACAAAAGAAAATGAGAGCCAGTGGGTGGGGAACCTTCTCCATCAAAAAGAAGAACAGTATTCAAACGGTTAGAGCAATCGAAAATATATACAAAGCCAGTGGTTTGGCCCATTCAATTGGTTGTATAATCCCAAGAAAATAGAAAAGACATTAGAAGACTCTCTCTCCCCCTTTAACGCATTGGCCCATGAAAGACCCATTAATGACCTATGAATCTACCTCATTTTATTACAAATCTTGTATGTGACTTTGCAAGGATGTGCAAAGATGTCTTTTTCATTTTACTTGGCATCTACACATTTTAAGGTGTCTATTTTCTTTTTCGTTGCATATTGTTTTTTTTTGCATAATATATTTTACTCATGATTTTGCTTCAGTTAAAAGTTGAAACACATCTACCGCTACAACAAAAGGTGATTGTGTTTTAATAAGTTAAAGAATCTTTTAAACCTTTTAAAATGGCATACGCGGCAAATGAACAGAGATCTGGATCTGAACTTGTGACATAATCCCCACGTACACTAGTTTAGCTCAATAACTTGCAGATCATTATGTATGTATGAGTTATCCCAAAAGATTTCATACTCCCAAGGGAGTATACTATTCACTTACTCCTCAAGCAAAACTCACACTAGGAATATATTTTAGATCCCAAATTTTGGGATGTAACCTCTAGAATCAGCGACCAATCTCAAAGGGGAAACAAAAATTAACTCACACTCTCACATGCCTAAAAAATGATGTCCCAAGATTGCCAAGAACTGCCCAATATTTGTAAGAAAAGATCCAGATGTTCAAGAACTCGAAATACAAATTTTTCTTTTCGAAAATAATCATCTAGTGATACCTAGATGGATCCCAACAATTCGAATAAAAAATAATCTCCCAAGTAGCTATTTACCCGAGGGAGTTGTCGTACAGTATGCTCCCACAAGAGCATAAGCTATATGCACTCATGAGTTATATAATATATACATGTATGTGTATGCATGTATATCCAAGAATAAGAAATTATAAGTCAGATTTTTCATAGCCAATGTTCAAAAAAACGGATTCGGGCGCCTAAGCAGTTTGGGTGCCTGGCCGCCTAGGCGGGTGCCTAGGGACAAGGCGCCCTCACCAAAATCAAAACCTCCCCCCCACCCCAAACATAAAAAATAGGGGAGTTCTTAGGTCATGGTTTATCGCCTTAGGGAGTTTTTAAGGCAATTTTAGAGCCTCAAACTCCTCATGATCATAAAATAGACAAACACATAATAGTACAACAATACAATTATTTGTAAGACTTAAACCCATTAAGATATCACATAATCAATTTTTTATCAAATAAACTAAAACAAAATAAATAGAATATCATAATAAGACACATTGTACAAAAAAGGAATCAATTATTCATAAAAGAATACGATACATGCTCAATTTCATCGTCCAAGTGATAAAAAAATCAATAAATCACCAAACAAATCAATCTCTTAACTACAAACATGTAAATATACCGCAAAAGAAAAAAAAAGTAAACGAAAAAACACATGATTCATAACATAATATGTTGTAGCAAAATAAAATCAAAACTCTCTTTCAAATATGATAATACTTTAAAAATATCAAAATCAAATCGATGCCGGTGCAAACCTCATCTATTGGGTCGCCCTCAAAATCAACTATTAGAAGCTTCAAATCCACCCAAGAACTATTGCCTTCGTTTTGGGAAGAAATCAAAAAAATAAAAAATTTATCGATCTTTCGATAAATCAAAAAATAGTGGTTTTTTAGGGGGTTTTCTCACCCTAAAGGCCACAGATTTTCTATTGGGGGTTTAGAATACCCTCTAAAACCCTTTTCCCCCCTTTTTATGGGAAAATTACGTATTTTACCCTCACCCGAGGTTTTTTTCCATCGCCCGTAAGTTATCACAGGGCGCCCAGACAATAGCGCCTAGGTGAGTGCCCAGAAGCAAAAACACCTAGTGCACCCGCTTAGACTGCGCCTAGGCATTTTGAAATTTTTTTCCCCTAAGCGGCCGCCAAGGCGGTCGAGCGGCTGAATTTTTGAACATTGTTCATAGCAACAGCATCATACAGTTATATGTAGTTATCAACATGATACAGTACACAGAGCTTAAATATGATCATGAATACCATTTACAAGTAAACAACTAAGACACAGCAGGATCCACAACAATTAGACAGAGACTGCGAAGGCACCTTTAGATTGTCTTCTAAAAGACGAATAAAATAATCTTGAAGCTCTGACCCCCTGAAATATGTCAATATCTCCTCCCAATCAGGAGGATTCTGCACATAAACAGTTAATTGAATCTTTTATAGTTGTAGTCGATTAATTTAACATTTCAGAAATATATACAGAATTGAGAAAAGGTTCAAGAACGAGTATGTTTTTACCCTAAAGCGTCCCAAATTAGGTTTCAATCTCCCAGCCAGCACTTTAAGAGCAGTTGATTTCCCAATACCATTTGTCCCAACCAGCCCAAGGACTTGCCCTGGCCTTGGAACCGGCAACCTGAGAAATTATAGTTCAGAAATCCGTATGGCATATGCTACCATGACCAAACAAATAATTTTAAGAAAAACTGGGAGATGCACCCTTATGCATTTACCTATGCAACTTGAATGTGTTTGGGCCGTATCGATGAGTTGTATCTTTGTCCAAATCTTTGGGCAAATTGATTATCTGGATGGCATCAAATGGGCATTTCTATGTGGAAGAAAACAAAATAGTAAGTTCAAGTTGGTTCACAATATCCAATCAGTTTGTAGAGAAATGATGCACAAGTATACAGACCTTAACGCAAATACCACATCCAATGCATAACTCTTCTGAAATATAAGCAATCTTTGAGGCAGGGGAAACCTCGATACAAAGTTTACCTACAAGCAGCCAACATTAGGACAAAAGTCACTCCTTTCTTTTTGTCAAATAGGGATTGATAAATACCACTAAAGTCCAAATATATACTAATTAAAGCACAGAAAATTGAGTTAATTTGATCAATTAGTAATGAAAATATATACCCTATCGATAGAAATCACCAACCGTATGGTAACTAATAAAACTCATGGAGGAGAAAACGAATAGCCCACTCATTACTCTCTCAAACTAGATAATTGTGTGCAAATTTATTCAAGATTCAAAAACCCACTTATGAACATACAACGGAAACTGCTGCTGAATAGACTTTGAAGAATCAAAACACTGTCAACGAGGGAAGGAATTGCAGAAGAGGGTCAGAAAGGCACACAAAATGATGCTAACAGGAGATATGCCAAGGGGTACCGAAACAAGCTCAGACAGGCAGGAAGATCATTGATGCTGCATAAAGCGAGGAGTCATTAGGACAATGAGGAGGGCAAAAAATAAACACCACACATCATGATAGCAAAGCCTCCCTTTGACCAGATTCAGAATGTTTTTTTCCATCAGGTTCCCCAATGAAGAGAGATCTCAAAGAGAGGATGCAGATGGAATAATCACGCTAAAGGTAAACAACGATATTGTCAAGGAGAAAGTCAAATTTCCTCATATCCACTCTGGTTAGGAGGCTTCGCCAAAACACACGGATCAGGCTGGGGTCGAGGTTTTACTAATCTGGAGGGCCAATATAGCTGCTATTTTCAAGCAAATAGAACATGGAGATGGAGATGCCCTTTTCATCCTGGGATCCAAGTTAAAATCAAGGGGTCTCTATTAACTTTGTAAAGCTGGACTGCTGGAGTTATACGCCTCTTAATAAAATGCATAAGGAATTGGATTTCAACCAGATGCATTCCCTTCCACACATGGTCTTATGATATCTTCTAGTGAGATGGGAAATCTGTGCAGAAATAAAATAAAACTAGAATGGAAAACCTTTGTTGGGTACAGGAATGACAGGGTTCGAAAGACAAGCAAAGTGAAGGACACCAAAAGAATTTATACGCAAGTCATCCTGGCAAGAGGTAGAAAATCAGAGCTGTGAAACATCAAAGAACCGAATCAAAGATGATCACCACGAGATAGAAAGGCTTGCCAGAGCCAGGAATCTTCAGAGGAAAGCATAGCTTAGGGTGGCAAGTCGCTAGTCTGGAAGATGAAATGGGAGAAAGCAGAAGTTTTGCTGGAGAGAGTTGCAAATAATGCAACACAGATGAGCCTGAAGGAGAAGAGATGACATCACACACACATCAGCCAAGGCAGGCCGCTTGGCAAGAGATGTCTGGATGCTACTTCTTAGTACTTGCTGGACAGGAAAATATGAAGAAAGTGTTAAAATCATGTACAGGAACAGAAGCTCCTGAATGGTTTTAGGAGATTTCAATGCCTCAAGATGGCCCATGAAAAATAATGGAGGAGATTGAGCCACGTATAGAGCAAATGGCAGACTTGCAAAGCTTCTACATTGCCATACAAGGAAGACCATATCATATGGGGTGCAGACAGCAAAGGCATGCTCCCTGTCGGATTGTTTTACAAAAATTTTAATCAATTTCCTTGATATACGCATACATACCAAGAGTTTGGAATATCCACATGAAAGATACTAGCCTTTGGCTTGATTGTGGTGCTAAGCAAGGTGTGGACGATATATCACCTTATGAATAGGGGCATTCCCATACCAAATAGGTGTATCATGTGCAGTGTTATATGGATACCGACATGCGTATAGTATCTAGTATGTGTCGGAAGTATCTAGCACGGGAAGCTAAAAACTCAGTACTTTTTGACACACCCATACAGTGCATTATTTAAGATATTATATCTAATTAATCTTATTTTAAACAACAATGCCATGTGCCAAGGTGGCAGTGCATCTTTAAAAATATCAGAGGCCCCACGATCAATGCCCTTCGAGTGGCACTTTGTTCAAGCGCCGCGTTCAAGGCTTCTCGAATGGCACTTTGTTCAAGTTGTGTCCATTATTCATATTTTTTATATAACAAATAATGGGTATTGCATGCTTCTATATGAAGTGTAGATCGTACTTGAGTCCACTTAAATGAACCGACACATACAGCCAATGTGTCGGTGGCATGTTGGGGCATGCCAACACTTGTCTGTGTCAACACAAGACACAAGGCCCCAAAGGAGTATCAGGGTAACATTGATCATGTGTAAGCTCCACACAGACTCTGTTAAACACATATTCATACATTGCAAGTTCAACATAAACATATGAAACAATCTATTGCAATATTTAGCTTTAATGGGCCACCCCAAGCTCAGTTGAAGGTTTGACCAGCCAATGAACGCCACCCCACTCACCAAAAACAGGACTAATCTGTTGCAGATTAAGTATCTTAAGCTTGCTATAGGCACTATTGATGGAGAGAATTGTACTTTCATGATGGTGTACCATAGAGCAGCCTGGCTATTTGATAAGAAAAGATCGACAGTGATTCCCTTGGTCAAGTTAAGAAAGGATACAGTATTTGATTTCGAGAGCCGGGGGCAATCGATTGCATGGAATAAAAAGAGATGGGCAAACACATTGTAAAATGGGTTCCACCTAGTCAAGAAGCTCAGAAATTAAATTTTGATGGCTAATCTAGAGGCAACCCTGGCCTAGCTGGTGCTGGTGTCGGTGCTGTTCTCAGAGACCACCAATGAATAGTACTCATAACTTTTCAGGACCCCTCAGGATATATGAATCCAACAAAGCAGGAGCTTAAGCCCTCCTTACTGGTCTTCAAGGTCTCTTAGCCAACTGGAGTAGGATCAAGATTGATGGGGGTTCAAAGAATGTAACTTCATTGGCCAAAGGAATCTACACATCCACGAAGGTTCACAAACATTGTTATGAAATCATGGCATTATGTATAAAACTCGATGTTTCTTTTCATCATACATAGAGAGAGTCTATTCAGATCACAAACCAATTGGCAAGTGATGGAGTTTCCAAAACCACTGTTTCCTTTTTTGCAAGTCACAGCGATCCTATAGAATTCCAAATTTGGGTACAAAACATATCATTGCATAATTTTGAACTTTACCGGTCATTAAAGTTAACTACAAAAGCAAAAAAAAAAGTATCCAATGATCAAATATTAATATCCACCAATACACTTTCATAAGTCCATTTACTAACTAGCATTAAAAGTAAATATATGCTGCAGTTTTTCTTCCTTATATTCTTTTCTTTTCTCAGTCGTTTTGACTGCTAATGGGCGTTACAATAACAATAATAAGACAAAGAAGCATAATAATAATAATACGACTATTCATGGTTAACAGCCATGCTTTGATTAGGAACTGACATCTATACAGTAACAAGCGAGGAATTTATTATAAGAAAATAGTTAACCAAAAAAGATCATCCATAGTTGTCAACAAGAAAAAAGGAGACATAAAATTAGCACTAAACAAGGTTAACAAAACAAAGAAGGGTTGTTGGTTATACCAGTTCTAACAACAGGGCAGCTCTTTTTACACTCTTGCCGACACTCTTTCGGCTTGCATCGATCTGCATTGACGATAGCAATTCGATTCAATCTCTGATCTGCCATACCTTCTTCACAAAATTGAAATATAACCTCAGAAAAATGCCTGTAAAAAAAAAATAAACATCATAATGACTTGATCAAATGTCTGTAAAACCCAATTAAAATTCAAAATAAAACCCAAGGAATGACTGTAAAACAAAAATTAAACAACATAGACCCTATCAAATTTCTGTAAAAACAATAAAAATAAAATTAAACAAACAAACCAGCACAGCGCAAAGGCAATAATTTCAGATTAAGCAAATACACCACCCTAAATTGCATAGCATCAGAAAACCAATTAACACACAAAAACCAAAGCCGTGTCTACATGGAATCCGAAATCCAAACAAGTAAAACAACCACAATATAATAATAATAATACTAAATTACATAAATCAGGAAACCGATCAAAAGAAAACCCATGCCCTGAAAAAAATCAGTTTCATACAAACAACAAAACATTAATTGAATTAGCAGAGAGACAAATCCTAGCAAAGAAACAGAACAAACAAGAAACCCTAATCAAGAAGAAAGCAAACTGTAATACATCATTAGCACCCAACGTATTCACACAAAACCGTAAAATCTTAGAGAATTGGCAATTACAATATCCCGGATTCATGCAAAACCCTAATTCTGGGCGTTTTGCATAAGAGCTCTCTAACGCAAAACCGTAATTTACCGACATGGAGAAAAAAACAGACCTTTGAATCCTTGTGAAGAAAAACGAACAACGTATTTGAAATGAGAGGAAGACGTTATAAAGTGCGGCCTAGCGGGAAATTATATTAAGCGAATGAAGAAAGGCTAAGAGTTTGACGCGTCAAAAATTTAGAAAGGACCTTGGGCCCCGTAGGTAAGAAAAAAAAAACGAAGGAATTCCTATGTCTGTTGGATCTCTTGAGGAACAACGGCTATGACAAGTTTTTTCAAACCGCCAAAGCACATCAAGATAACAATAATTAAGATTAGGAAAATTCTCGTGGCGACGAAATTGTTGAGTGATTTCGTCTACCCTCATCACTATCCAAACTTCGATTTTGTCTACCTTCATCACTATCCAAACTTCATTGCTTGATTTTATCTACCCTCATCAATATCCAAACTCCAAACTTCATTGCTTGATTTTGTCTACCCTCATCACTATCCAAACTTCATTGTATGGTTACAGTTGTACGGTAATCTTTCAAATTTTTTTTATTTTTTTATAAATCAAAATTATTTGAAATTTAGAGCATAGTGATACGTACCTAATAAAAATATGAAAAAAATAATTCGTAAAACATAAATAGACCAAAATATCCTCAAAAATTTATGGGGTATTTTGGTCAATTTATATTTTATGAATTACTTTTTTCATATTTTTATTAGGTACACTTCACGAAGATGTACACACGCTTTAAATTTCAAACCATTTCGATTAGTAAAAAAAAATAAAAATTAAAATACTATCGAACAATTGTGATCGTACGATGAAGTTTTGATGGTAATGAAAGTAGACAAAATCACTGTTTATTTTTATCATTTTGTAATATTTTAAAATAAAAATAATAATAATAATAAAATAAAAAATAAAGATAGCTACTACAAATCTCCAAAGGCAACTACTATTACCATAAGATATTTGTAAGAGATAGTGAAAAGGTGAGAATTTTTAAAATTTAAATGGTCAATAAAAAATGAAAAGGTGTGTTATTTGAACCTATACAAAATTCGAACCAAACCTAAAAGTTAACTCAAGAAGTGGATGTGTATTAAAAAACTATTTTTTCTTTCCTCGTTCTCTCAATTGTCGCTCATTCTACAATTTCTTCTTTCCTCATTCTCTAGTCTCTCAATAGCTAACAAGAACATATCCTTCTCTCACTGAGTAAAATTCTCAAAATTAACTAGATTTAAATTCTCTCACTCAAAATTAAGTATCGCTCTTTTGAGCCTACCAAGACTTTCTCTCTTAAAGTTTAACAAGGTCATATCGTTTTTTCTGACTGAAAAGCTAAAGACCATATAAATTAATAACAGAATAATTATGATATTTTCATGAATATCATAATTATATGTTTTCAATTATAAATATTTCAATACATATTTATTTTTATTACAAATTTCTTAATATTGATGTAGTAATTCACTTATTATTATGACCATAATAAATACAGTTTCATAATTGTAATTATGAACATTATATAGAATTATTAAAGTTAGAATTAAATATTATTAAAGTATTTAAATAATAAAAATACAATTATATAAATTTATATATAATTAATTTAAGCCAAGAGATAATCAACCTCCACATATACTCAACTCCTTGTCATATTTGGAGATCTCAGTGCTCATGTTCTTTACTTTCACAAAATGCTAAGAAACTGAAAGCAAACCTTGTGTGGACAAACCAAGCTCATTCTCTAATAGATACTACCTAACACTGTTTGCTGGAAAGAACAAATAGCAGAGGACATCTCATGTTTCCTTGTGTTTTTTGGCATCTCTAATTTGGTCCATGAGCTCCTTTCACTTTCAACACATATAATGTCTTACTAGCTCGAATCTTCCACTTTCGCAAGGCTTCTGCATTCACATATTCCACTTTGGTGACTCGCTCGAATCTTCCACTTTCGCAAGGCTTCTCCATTCACATATTCCACTTTGTTGCGGCAGTGTCGTTGCCATTCCCTCCCCTAGGGATCTTACTTTTTGCAAATAAGACTTCATGCAAGGATTGCTAATAAATATGCTTGTGTTGGTCAGGCTTCTCGATCCTAGCCAAAAAGCTCCCATTTTCCATGGTGTTTGTGTTTCCTTCGTTGCTCTACTACTACTTTGAGCACCCAAAATCGCAAACCTTGCTTTAATACCACTTGTAGAATTGTGCCGGGTTGGCAATAGAGTAGGCCAGGCCGGGCCAGCCTTGGCCCTAGCCCGGATGTAGTCCCATAAGGGCAGTCCAAGCTAGGCCAGCCTTGGCCATAATTGGATCAAGAGGCCCTGACCCTAACAGGGTCAAGACAGGCCAAAATAAAACAAAAACATAAAGGAAAAAAAGAAAAAGAAAAAGTGGGCCGGGTTGGGCCCTACACCTGTGCGCTGGTTGCTCGGCCCTGGCCAGTCCTTAAGTTACATTTTGTGCCCAATCCCTAATTTTATAGGCCGGACAAAGCCGGGCCACCCAGCTCATTGCGACTCCTATATGGAAGGACCTTGCACAAAACACAACACCACAAGCACTCTGCACAAAACTTAAACAACAAACACGAAGATCAAAACCCAAAGTCGCATATCAAAAGCATCGGGCCAACAATATGAATAACCAAAAAAAGACCAGCAATTTTTTTTCAGAGATTGAAAAGCACCTGGTCCTTTTCCCATTTCCTACTATATTCACTTCCAATTAGTATAGCATCTTAACTAGCTATTTTTCCAAATCTAAAACATTTAACCAAATATTTGTTCACCTCATGAAACCTTGTTCAATGTCAAACCCACCTACCATGTGTTCGGCTGATTTTGTTATGCTCACACCAAATTACTTGACAAATTTGCCCCTCGTGTACGCAAATGTGTGTTTACTGGTTATCTATATGAACAGAAAAGATAAAAAAAAAATTGGTATTGATGAACAAAAATTATTTGTCAACAGGGATGTCTATTTCCATGAGGATGCCTATTTCCATGAGGACCAATTCCCTTTTCCATCCCGTCAAACCACTGTAGTAAGCATAGAAACATTTCCCATCAAATAAATAGGAAACTAAATACATAACTCAAAAAAAGCCCGTAACAAATTGTTTCCCACAAGTTAAGTCTTTGCTCATAACGTCTAGTTGTCATCTGAAATTTACAAACCTCAGAAAATGCTTCTCCATACCAAGGGTAAAAGATATCGATATATGCTTAATTCTTTTTCCCTATGAAATGGTGCTAATAATTTTGAACTAAAGTTATTCATAAAAATAAAAACACAATAAAAAAGGGCCATGATATAAATCGTAAACTATTAGGATATTTTTTAAATACCACTAATTATAAGAGATATTATTTTAATTTTTCATAGACTATGGAAAGAAAAAATTATATTTTTTGCTTTGTTTTAAATAATTTTCTATATATTTCTAGAATTTATGATTGTGTCTTATTTTAATTTTTTTTTATCCAAAATGCCTAGATTTGAATTTCAAGTTTTGACTGGGTATTTCCCCTTTGAGGCTAAGCTTTTGGGTAGAACTCCAAGTTCCAACAAGTTATTTTTTTCCTTTTTGTAAAAAATTGGGTTCCGAGATCCGATATAGACATGATATAGAAAAGAAGCAATTTTTGGCCAAATACCAATAAGAGATTAACTATTTAACATTCTACTCATATTTTTTTATTAAACTTTAAGATACCCATAAAAAAGTAACTCAGTTTTTATTAAGATTTGAGCAGATCTCATCACAGAGATCTGTGCATATCTGAGCGTAAACAAAAACTTATAAAAAATGATTGTCTGTACCCAAAATCTATACACCTTATCTTTTTATCTCTCTCCTAAAAAAATTTCTCTCTCACATGAAATCCCAAAGGGGATACGCCCCAGTCTATCATCTTTAATCTCTCTCTTTCTCTCCCACATTATGAAAGAACCCAAGGGTTTAGGCTATGGAGTTCTTCTATTTCTCATCTCTCAACTACAAATTTATGGCTAAGGGTTTTAGGGTATAGCAAAAAGAAAATACATCTCTCTCAAGCTATGTTGCTAAGGGAATTCACCTAGGGTATGAGTTTGTGATCAAAGGGGTTCATGTTCTATTTGTGAGGCTTGGCCTAAACTTGCTTTCCCGATTGAGATTGAAGGTTGATCATTGATCACACGTCATTGGATGGTGGTTACTCAGTATGGGGTGTAATAAGCTCGGTTGAGGTAATCTCCGGCACTCCCTTTTTGTTTCTTCTCATACTTAATTATATAGTCTTTATATTCTCAAGTATAAGAATTGTAGATATTTTCTTTGTTTAATGGCATCAAGGTTTTTAAGATCTTGGATTTGTTAGTTTTAATAAGACTACTTGTAAGTGATCTTTGTCCAAAGAAAAAGAAAAAGAAAATAAAATAAAAAGGTGAAAAGAAGAAAAAATAAATAACAATAATATTTCCCAACAATATCACATTATTCTTTCTTTCCTCTTTTTGGATAGAGATTGTGTTCCAGGTGATTATTTGGATAAACACTTGTGGGAGAAAACATAAGACTGGGAAACCCCATTATATAACAGATTTTGGAGAGAGAGAGAGAGAGAGAGAAAGAAATATAAGGTACGTTGTTTTTGTTATTAGAGAGTTGTACAAAGATCTATCAAGTCTTCCCATCTCAAGAAATGTTTCATCTCTTTTAGAAAAGTCTAGGAAACATCCCCCTTCAGATTTTTTCCCCTCCCATCTAAGCCCCTACAGATCCCCTCTTGGCATGTAAGAACTCTCAAGCCTTCTATGAAATGGCTTGGCATTTGCGATGTTGAATCATCATCATGGTTCTTGTAATAAAAAAAAAAAAAGGTGACCTAAGCAACCAGCAGCGAATTCTCGATGTGCAAAAGGGAACAAATAGAGCTCAATATGAACATGAGATTCAGAAAAGTATGTAGCTTTTATTTGATCCTCGTGTAGTTCTTTTTTTACATTTATATTTTTTGTAACCATTTCCGCAATGTAGATATGCCTACTATGTCCAACATTGATATCAGAGCAATTCGATGGATGTTCACTATTGCATTTGGTTTTTTATTTTTTATTTTTATTTATTTATTTATACTATTCCATAGAGCACATTCTCATATCTAATTACCTTGCATAGCTCGAAGAGACTCAATTAGTTCGGTCTCAAATATGATAGCCATGCATGATTTAAAGCATCATTGTCAAGTTGGATTACCAC